CCCAGTTTCTGGTAACCTCTAATCTACTTTTGTTTCTGAATTTTTCTATTTTTTTCTTAATTGACCCATGATAATTGTATATATTAATGGAGTACAATATGACATTTGGTACATTTATACAGTGTGCAATGTTCATATCAACATATCTATCACCTCAAACATTTGTCACCTCTGTGTTGGGAACATTCAAAACCCTCTCAACTAGCTACTTAAGTTATATAGTAATTTGTTGTTGACTATAGTCTCTTTATATTGCTATGCAACACTACATCTTATTCTTCCTCTCTCTCTACAATTTTGTATCCCCTTTCCAGTCTCTAGTAACCACTATTCTATTCTCTACTTTTTTCAAATCTAAAACGGATTTATTATCTATTCATTTATTGAAACATGATTGTACATATCTGTGGGGTACAGCATTGAATAACAATACCTGTGTGCAATATGCGATGCTCAAATCAGGATAATTGATATATTCAACATTACACAATGTATTCATTTTTTGTGGCCCTTTACCAATTTCTCACAAACCCCTCCCCACCCCCTCACCTCTGGTGGCCTCAGTTCTGTTCTCCTATTGAAAGTTCAACAAATTACTGTGATTGTTGTATGTGTCTTTCATTCATTCATTCATTTATTTATTTAGCTCCCACTCATGAGTGAGTACATGCAGTTATTTCTCTTTCTGTGCTTGGCTTATTTCACTTAACATAATTTTTCTCTAAGTTCACCCATGTTGCTGCAAATGGCAGAATCTCATTCTTTTTATAGCAGAGTAGTATTCCATTGTGTATATATACCACATTTTCCTTATCTAGTCTGTCTACTCTCTATTTCTATGAGATCAACAGATTCCTATTATCTTTTAATTCCATTTTTCCACAAACTTTCTGAAGAACCCTTGTACTGAATTTATCTTAAAAAAGGAAAATCTAGTTCTACAATTTGGAATATTATCCCCAGAATCTACGTGACTTCCCAGTCATTAAGATAAAGCCTCTGGCACACACACAATTGCTTTAATTTCTTCCACATGGGTAGTGTACACATGTTTAGCTGCCCCAGACTACTGCAAAATACAATGCCAGCAAAGCTTGCTCTTCTGCTCCTCATTATGACTGCTGTCATATGACTTACTTCTCATCCCATAACACTTTTTTTTTTACTGCAACATAGCTGATTGTATATATCTGTGGGGTGCAGAGTTGAATATCATCACCTGTGTGCAATATGTGCCACAATACACTTCGAATGCACCTCCAAACTCTAATAAAACAGGATGGCCTTAGTGTGCTAGTCTGATAGCAAAAAATATTTTTTTAAACGTATATTTTAAATTGGATTAACAGCCTCCAAACGGTAAATGCTTTGGTAGGGATGAAGTAAGCCTCTCCCTGAATTGCAGTGTAGAAGTCCACAGAGCTGCTAGCATATTAAATGCCCTGGAGTTTGCAGTTCTGAATCCTGGGCCATACAGTGGCCAGTAGGGGAGGAAGGAGCACTGATTCAGAACATTTCTACTCCCCATCCTCTAAGCACTTGGCTTATCAAAACAGATATCTGTGTACTACCTTTGCTGTGTCACCTGAGATGTCATCTGAGAATGTCATAAAATACGATATCCCTCCTCCTGTTATATTGTTATTCCAGTTGCTCTCTTTGCTTCATCTGATGTTTAAATGTGTCCCCAATGCTCTGTTTTACTTTAAATGAAGATGGGAACAGGCAGAGGCAAATAGTTAGGAATCAAAATTCAGGAACCTGAAACCTGATTCCAATCCTAACTGTAACTTTCCGTGGGCCTCAATTTCCCTAAAAATATTTATGTTCTATCCCTTATATTGTAGAAGTCACATCCTAACATAAAGAGATTGAACTTTGGTGAACTAGTTAAAACACCCAACCAACCAAGAATTCAGTGTGTCCAACAAAACAATGAGAAAATCAAAGACTATTTAAACATGAGTCTTCAGGAGGTGCCCAGCAACGGGGCACAAGCTTCCCTCTCACTGTTCCCATTAGTAGCACAAAGCACCCCTCTGCAGAGTCTCTCCTTTGAGTAGTGATTTAAAGGTAGTACTATTAACTGTCCACTCAAGGTATCATATTGGGCCCTGTTCCCTCTATTCCTCAACATTCCCATTTTTATTTAGATCCTGTAAGGTAGACCCACAAGACTATACCTATACACACGCATATGTATTTGCACATGGATCTCAACCTAGTCACTGCAATGCCGGGTACAATTGCTAAGGCCAGGTGATGGGATATAATGAGGCTTTCTGGATAGATTATTGGGGGTGGAAATAAAAAAATTAACTTCTAATTCGAGGCAGCTGACCCAAAAGGTTGGAAGCCAAAGTTGCCAGACGGATTCCTAACCAGGTGGTTACCTTTGCTCTGTCAGGACCCTAGCTAGTACCCTTAATCCCGGACAGTTTCTTCAGAAATAGAACACCACAACTCAGTAAGATTCTGTTGATGCTCTGTTAACGGTACCCCTTTAAAAAGAAAATATTTCCTTTCTCATTGTAAAAATACATTCTCATTATAGAAACCTTGGCAAGCATGCTACAATATAGATGAAAACAAAAACTGTTACAATACAGAATAAACTTCTGTTAACTTTTTTTGTTATTTCCCCCCTTCTAAATACTTGTGGTGGTTTTAAAACACATCCACAAATTCTTTGACAATCCTTCCACCAAGAGGTGGGGTCCACACCTCTCCCCTCAGGCCTAGGCAGGCCATGGTGACTGCCTCCATGAACATAATGTGGAGGAAGTGACAGGCGACGTTAGAAAAGGCCATGCGATTTTTGTCATTTCTCTTGGGACACTTGCTCTGGGAACCTTCAGCTACTATGTTAGAACTCCAGCTGCTCCAAGAGCACCATGTGAAGAGAGCAGGTGGAGAGACCCATGAGATTCAGAGCACCCCCCTAAAGCCTGCTCCAGTGCTCAGTCCA